GTGCTAATCAGAAGCAGCCCTCAGCTCCATACCCCAATGTACCTTTTCCTCTGCCATTTGGCCTTTGTAGACATTGGGTACTCCTCATCAGTCACCCCTGTCATGCTCATGGGCTTCCTCAGGAAAAGAATTTTGATTCCTTTTTCTGGTTGTATAGCCCAACTCTGTTTTGGGGCAACATTTGGGACAGTTGAGTGCTTCCTGCTGGCTGCCATGGCCTATGATCGTTATGTGGCCATCTGTTCACCCCTGCTCTACTCCAGCCACATGTCCCCCAAGGTCTGCATTCTCTTAGTGGGAGCTTCCTACCTGGGTGGCTGTGTAAACGCTTGGACATTCACTGGGTGTTCATTAAGTCTGCCTTTCTGTGGACCAAATAAGGTCAATCACTTTTTCTGTGACTATTCACCACTTTTGAAGCTTTCTTGTTCTCATGACTTTACTTCTGAAATAGTTCCAGCTATCTCTTCTGGTTCCATCATTGTATTCACTGTGTTTGTCGTTGCTCTCTCTTACATCTACATCCTCTTCTCAATACTGAAGATGCGCTCTGCAGAGGGGCGGCAAAAAGCCTTCTCCACTTGCACCTCCCATCTCACTGCAGTCACCCTTTTCTACGGGACCATTACCTTCATTTATGTGATGCCCAAGTCCAGCTACTCCATGGACCAGAATAAGGTGGTGTCTGTGTTCTACATAGTGGTGATCCCCATGTTGAATCCCCTCATCTACAGCCTCAGGAACAAAGAGGCCAAAGAAGCCATGAGAAAATTATTGTCTAGAGCTCATTGGTGGGCCTAAGAATTTTGACTTTAATAAATAGAGTAAAATAAGGTCTGCTGGCAGGTGAAATGGTAGCATACTAAGTAAATTAAAGTTTATATCTACAATATACTACACCTATACATTTTATTGTCTCATTCTCAAAAAATATTTGAGTACAAAAAATAGGTGTTGGGCCAGGGCAACGGCTCAGTGGAATAAGCACTACACTGACAAGTGTAAGGGCCTGAGTTCAATCTCTGGTCGCAGCAAAAAATAAATAAATAAATAAATAAATAAATAAAATAAAATAAATAAAACAAATAAATAATAAATGTCGACTCATTGAGGAAGAGATAGCAAGCACATTTTTAATAACCTTTCTCTACTCACTATTTGCTGCATCTATAAGTACAAATCTTTTCACATACAGTTCTGTGTTCTTTGAATGCAGCTTTGGGATTACAGCTGTGCTATCCTCCAGACTCCCTCAAATGGAAGCAAAAAGTGATGTTACCATTCCAAGATCTCAGGCTCAAATGGTTGTCTCTGTGCTGTACTGCAATCTTGGGGTTGAAACCAGTGGTGCAGGTGACTGAAAAATCTCCTGTCACCCTGTAGTCTGAGCCTAATTTACATGATTCCTTTGTAGATGAGTCAAATTCAGCCAATGAAGACTGTATTTTTAGCCTTTCCTTAACTACTACTTCTTTCTTTTAGAATCTGTTCCATCATATACCCCAAGGATTTCCTTATGGCCACTGTAGGGGCAAACTGTGTCCTGTGGCGATGAAGTAAGGACATGTTTTTTCATAAATTCTTTTTATCTTGAGAGTTGTATGCTGCACATTTCTATTTTGTTTGTTGAACTGTCTTTTCTCTTCTATTTCTCTTGCCTGAAAAACTGCTTCCTTATACATAATCCTTTTTAATAATCCTGAAAACAGTTTCCCTGAATCAGACAAATTTTTATTTTTATAATTTGAGATTATTTGTGTCATTCATAGACCTTTTTGAGTTTACTACTCCATTGTTTCTTCTAAATGAATTAATTTTGAAACAAAAAGTTTAAATTGATGAAAAACTTCAATTTAAATGTAAATAATAGATTAATCTTAATACATACAATATCTGATTTTTAACTTTAATCATCAACAATGATTCTATTGTCTTCAGCATTAAATTCAATTTTCTTAAG